GGAGTGCCTTGAGGAAGGTCCAGACTCAGGAAACATAGCCTGGATTCAAAGTCACACGTGTTGGGTCTAAAGGTAAAACCATACTGCCAGCACTTCCCTCCATTCACCGACTCCAAACACGTATTTTCATTAATGCCTGAGGCGTGTGCTCCCTGCCTCCCTGCCTTTGCTCACGCTAGTCCTCCACTTAGAATTCCCTATTCCTCTTCTTCACTGGAGTAACTCTCACTCATTCTCCAAGTTTTGGCAAAAATTTCATCGCAGTCATGCAGACTTCTCTAACATCTCCTCCTTACCCCAGCCGGGGCCAGAAATGATGACCACTTTGACTATTTCTCTGCCTGCTTTCAATTACTGAATTCCACCACACACACCCAAATTTGGTGGCCTGTCCTTAGCTACAGGAAGAAAAAGTCTAACTTTTTCACGTTAGCTGTGAAAGAGTTAGACTTTGAGGCCCAAGCTGCCTTTGAACCACACCTCCCAGCTTCACCTCATTCTCCCAACTAAACGAGTCTCTGATATAGTCTTCCCCACCCACAGCTGTGTTCCTCCCAGCCTTTGCTGGTGCCCTTGCTCCCACCAAGACTGGCCCCTTCCATGCACCTTGACATGTGCAGGTGACCTCTGAGCAGGCACGAGCCGAAGTCCTGGTGCTGTGCCCTCAGCCTGCTAGCACGCATGTGAGAGGGGCTCCATAGTGTTTGTGGAGTGGACACCTGGACCCTAGAACCCCTGAGACGTTCTCATCTTCCCTTAAACAAGGCACATATGGAAGGGCTCATCCACCCTCCCAGCCCAGGAGCCCCAGGGTCTCTCTGTGCCTCACACTGAGTAGGGGCTTGAAAATCTGTATCCTGCAGGCGCAGTGACTCACACCTGTAATACTAGCACTGTAGGAGGCCAAGCCTGGTGGAGTGCTTTAGTTTAGGAGTTTGAAATCAGCCTGAGCAAGAGCAAGACCCCATCTCTACTAAAAATAGAAAAACTAGCCCAGCGTTATGTCAGGCACCTATAGTCTCAGCTACTCAGGAGGCTGACGCAGGAGGATCACTTGAACCCAAGAGTTCAAGGTTGCTGTGAGTTACAATGCCACAGCAATCTACCCAAGGTGACAAAGTGAGACTGTGTCTCAAAGCAAAAAAAATAAAACCTTTGTTGAATGAAGGGTTGAATGATGCTGGTTGAAGGTGTGGTTATAAAGGCAAGACTGGGGAAGCCTGGACGAGGAGCACATGGTGGCTGAGTAGATTGAGAATAAAATATGGGAGCACATTTAAAAGCACAGTAACCAAACGAGGCCACAGTTAGACTACTTTGCCAGCATGCTTGATTCCATTCAGGAACCCTCTGCCCTTGCATCTTTAACCCAGTCTTCCAAGGAGCCAAAAGGTTTTTCTCCCTTTGAAGTACCAATGTCTTGTGGGACTCTCACTTTTCTGTAGCATGTAACATCATTACAGACAACATGTGCTAGGAAGACCAGAAACATGCCACCAGACTTTGCTTGGATGATGGGTTAATACTAACAGCAAATGCGGATTTTAAGACTGAGTTTTCTTGGATATCTTGGGCAAAGTACATCCTAAAACTATAAAGTTTAACTCCATTGATTTTCTGATGCTGCTTCTGAGACACTGTCTCCAGGTTTTTCAAACAAATGGTAAAAGGTCTGATATTTTCCAGAGGACAGACTTGAGGATAGTGGTTGCGAATGTCAAGTTGTCCACATGGAACATTAACAGACACTTAAAGCTATTAGTTGTAAACCTTGTAGAAGCTACTTTGCAGAAGCATAGAGAAATACTCAAGTTATACATATAGAAGAAACATATAACTGTTTCATCTTAAAAAGTTCAGTGATGTCTCTCACTGAGGTTATTTTCCTTGAGTTGCAGAGTGTCCACAGAGCTTCTCAGGGCTGCTGCCACACAAAACTGTGACACAGGGTAGGTAAAGCCAGTCTTTGGCTCCACCAACCTCTTTCCTGCACTGTGTCCCCATCACTGCATCCTTCCCCTGAGGCCAGGTGCCTGCATGCCAGGTGTATTTCGTTATGCTAGACAGGAGGAAACGGTGCTTATGTAATTAGTTTCAAGTCAGCTGTAGCTCAGGTTCAAAGTGGCTGATCTATGATGGTATTCCAGATTATTCTTCTATTTCCATTCCAGCCCTATCAGCCTCATCTTAAGAAATGTTCTGTGCTTTCCTCAAACTGAAGTCTAAGTAATTTGGGGGGAATTTAAAGGATTGTTCTACTTAGATATGCTTGCAATGAGCAGCTATCAAAGTCTTAAGCTAAAGGAATGAAACTCTTACAGTGGATTTTAAACACAAGATAGAAGTGGAAGTTGAAGAATTCTCTGCATTCCATAAGGGGATCATCATTGCTATGCACAAGGTACAACCATTAGCATGTAAATGAAGGTGATTGTTTAAAGTCATTTTTGATTGAAGTAGCTTTGTTGTTTCCATCCAGCTTCCATCTGCTAATTCTCCCTCTACTGGGACACCTCAACCCCACAAGCTGGTTCACTTCTCTCGGGCTTCACTTTTTGTTGGGGCTTTTTTGTTGCAAGTGACAAGAACACTTCATACCATCATTCAGCCCATCTTGGGGGTAGGGGGAAGCTCATGTAACCAAATCGCCAAATGTAAAGATTCAGCTAACATTATCACTCACTCTCTCAGGCATGCATTTCTATCTTCTGTGTAATTTCACCAACATGGGTCTATCTTCCACCCTCCTGTATATTATGTATTAAGGGACATAGTCTTGTAGTTCTCAATTTGAGAGAAAACTTGCTTCAGCTCTACCTCAAGTCAAGTTGGAAAAGTCTGGAGAAGGACGCTGATCATAGGCCCCACTTAATAGACCCATCATTGTGTCTAGGCTGATGTGGTGTGAACATGGTCAGCACTATGATAGCCCCTTAAGAAACATATTAAGTAAAGGAGTCACCTGTCCTGAATATCTGTTTCTTCATTTCGTAAATGGTGGGGGTAAAGATAGCTCTAAGACTCTAAGTTTTAACTTGATGCTATTTAAAAAACAATTCATTTTTTGGTGTTCTGATCTCTGTCTTTGTCTCTTGTACATGTCTTACCTCCCACAAGAAGGCCAGATGTCATTGCAAGATCAGAATGATCTCCGTGGCTCAAAATTGGAGTCTCTCTAAATGGGGAAAGAGACAGCTCCTCGGTTGCCCCTCATCTGAGACTGCAGAGCATTAGAGTTCAGTCTTGACCAAATTTAACCACCCTTTGTGCACTTGATGTAACGCGGTCATGATTTCAAAATTTGTCAGGCATCCCAAATTTAGCATTTTGCCTGAGTTATAAAAAGCAGCAGATCAGGTGGAAGGTCAACTGGAAATTTTGCTGTATGTCATTATGCTGGAGGGGATGAAACAGTGCTTATGTAATTGGTTCCAAGTCAGATGTATAGCTCAAGTTCAAAGTAGCTAATGTATGATGGTGTTCCAGATTATTCATCTATCTGCATTCCATATGAATACCCATTTTCCCTCCAAAACCCATCTGAAACATCTTCTTCATTGAAATGCCTCCCCATTGCCTACAAAGTCTGTCAGTCTCCCTTCTCTATTGTTTCCACACTTCCATTGCAATGGACTCTCTTACTAGTCCACAGAAGGCAAGAACCGTACTTATGTGTGTTTGTTCAATATCAGGCCTGTGCTGTATGCATCATACTGGACTCTTTGGTATCCCAGGGTTCAACTACGAATGTGTGATCTTAGCAAGCTGTCAATTCTTTCTCAGACTCAGTCCCCTTATCTTTCACATAGATAAGGGGACTACTCACATCTACTCTGTTGGAGGAGGAATAAGTGAAGTGAGGAATAGCAAAGCACCTGGCCCAGACCTCAATATACAACAGAGGCACGTGTAAGGTTATGTCTTATTTTTAAGTTCCCCAAAGACACCAAGAACAGTAGCAAAGTCAACAGTATAGTTGAATGGTTACAATCCAACTGATCCATCAGCCATACACCAACCAACTGTATGGTCTGGAAGTCTCTTAATGTTTGAAGCTCAGTGGAAATGATGATAATATCTACCTCCTAGATGTGAGTGAGTGGATAAAGAGAAAAAAACGTACATGTAAAGCGCCTACCATAGCCATCTGGCACATAGTAGATACTTTATAAATGGCAACACTTGCTCTCATCTGTAATGGAGGGTGAAAAAAGAAGCAGCAAAATTACAACAGCCCCTCGGATGCCTCTTTGTGTTCTCTGGCCTTTTCCTGCTTTATGTCTTCGGATTAAGATGAATCCACATTAATAGAAGCGGTGGTTAATTGCCTCCTTGTGGGCTAGGCCTGTCCTGAGGCAGCAAATTACCATAATCTTCTTTTTTCTTGATGCTTCCAATGGGATATGTCTGTTCTAATTTAATAAACCTCTTTTTTTAGTGCCTGGCTCAAAGAGGCAATACCACATGCACATTTCCAAATGCATAATTTGTATGAACACTCAGGCCTTAACTACACGGGGAAAATAGTCTGGGAGGGGTGAGTGTGGGTATCTGTTCACATTCATTTGAACCGGTACCAACCAAACTTCACAGTTAATTGTATCTCAGCAATTTTCTCCTGGAAAAAATAATTACTATGCAGGCTTGTAGCTGTTGCTTGGCCTTGGCTCTTTCCTGACTCTTGAGTTGGCATTGTTTACAGTGTTGTGTCAGCAGCAGTAACATATCAGGCAAATGGAGCACACCTCCTGCCTCAAGCTTCCCCACCCCTGCCCTCAATTCCAACTTAAGTCAATCCAATTCCACCCCTGTGGTTCTAACAGTACAGGAGAAAATGGAAGGCATGCACAATGGAAGCGTACTAGTTGGAAATGCAAGCTCAAGGTTTGGGCTGAGAGTGCATGGGGACCAGGGAGGCAGGAGGTTGTTAACACGGGAGTTCTTTTCTGAACAGGAAAGGTCAGCCTCTGGGAAAATGATGGTCTTCCCTTCCCCTCCAGGTAATGCAGGTGGTGAAGGAGCAGGTTATGAGAGCGCTTACAACCAAGCCTAGCTCCCTGGACCAGTTCAAGAGCAAACTGCAGAACCTGAGCTACACCGAGATCCTGAAAATCCGCCAGTCTGAGAGGATGAACCAGGAAGATTTCCAGTCTCGCCCGATTTTGTGAGTTCCCCAGTACTGACCTCTGTCTCCCAGCTGGCTCTGACCCACCATTTACAGAGTGCATCCTTCTTGCAGAGATAGGCTATGCTATGAGCTCATTAGCAAACCCCCCCAGAAGACATCTTCTGGGGTCTCAGTTCAGTTAGGGCATCAAAGCAGCTCCTGAAGAAGAGCTGGGCTGGGTGGGCTGAGAGAGCCAGGAGGGGGCCAGGTGCAGCCAGGATGGGTCTGATCCAGGAACTGACCCGGTTACTGACAAGTCCTTCGGGAATTTGTAGCTAAACAGTCGTGGACCTTTTCCAACACTAGGAACAAAGTTTTTTGCCAGTGAAACATGGATATCCCATGTGGGTGTCCTTTAAGTGGCAAGCTGATCTGATCCAGCCAGAATGAGGCCCGCCAAGAATTAAAGCAATATGAAAATGAAAGCAGTGAGACGGTGAGGGGCGAGGGGAGAGCTTGAGAGGAGGAGAGAGACCCACCTCCTTCCTGACTGGGCGCTGGGTGGCATCAGAGCTACCTCGTGACTGCCAGTCCACAGGCCTCTGGGGAGAGGCAGCAGGTCCTCCTTTTACAGGGCTTTGCATCAAACGCTCTTCACAACTGGTGCGACATTTCATACATCTCTGGTCTAAGTGGTTCTGAACCTCAAACTGGAGGACTGTTTTGCCCACTTCATCTTTTCTAAGAACTGGCCTGTTTATCTTCCCTTGTCCTTTGCTAAGAACGAGCCTTACAGTTTTGTTAGCCTTCTATTTTAAAGAGAAGGAAACAGGGGAAAGGGTGCAGGACAGGTGCTTCTCGTTCTGTCCTCAGAAGACGGGATGCGGCTTCTAAACTTTTATACAAAGCCGACTTGTAACATCGGTGTGATTCTGCAGCCCCCACCCACCGCACAGGTGCACACTCCTCTCTTTCTGCCTTTCCCACTCACATAGCTGATGCTTTTGACACTTGACAATTGGTACAGCACCCCTCCTGTTATTTCATTTCCTCACATCTCTCTGAGATAGGCAGGACTCATTCAAAGACTAGGACGTAGTCTGGAGAGATGAGGACTTTGCTAACAAATGAAGAAACTGGGACTTGAACTTGGGTCTGCCATGTGAGAGACTGAAATGAGGTCAAAAAGAAGTGCACAGGTCTGAAAAGCCATCACGTCTACTGTGCATTTGTTCTCGAGTCATAAGCACCGTTCGGAACTGTAAAGTAGAACTGCAGACTTGAGTCGGCAAGAAGTTAGTTAGCAGTGAAGGGAAAATGCTTCCAAAGGGCTTTGACTTCCACCATGGCAAAACCTACGTCAAGCCCCCACCAGCACCAGCCAGCCTTCCGCTGGGGTTTTGCATGGTCCTCAGCCCAGGAGAAGGCAACACCCAGACACCCTGAGCAGTGAGTAACTCACTCGGCAGGGATGCAGTTTCTTACCTGGAAGGAGGGTCAGTGGCTCGATGTGCCATCCCAGGACCTACAGTACTAAAGCACTGCATTTCACATCTGTTTCAGCAGATGTGTAAACACAAAGAAATTTTATTATACTTTCGACAATAATTCTTAAAGCCTCAAGGAGACTTCAGTGAAGGCCAAGTGATTGTAAATTAACGTTGGATCACAACTTTGTTCCGAGTAAGAATGTCAACGGCATGTCAAGTGTGAACGTTTTGCTCCTCGTCCCTTTTTATCTTCACTTCTAAGGCTCTGCTTGTGACATGCTGAAGTTTCCTTTTCCTTGATTACAAGAAACTCTTTGTATTACGTTTCTTCCTTTCTTCCTTTTTTAATCTTTACATGTCTCATGAGAGGAGAAGCAATGTAAATACAGGGGAAGTCTGTTTGGAGGCAGGTTGTTCAGCATCCCTCAGCCGCAGACTGAGGAGCACCAGGGCCCATGGGGGATCTTGGAATATGTCATTGGCTCCAAGTCACAGAGAGTTGCTAGAGGCCACAGCATTTGAACGGGAAGGTCAGGGACCACTTTGATCATTATCCCAGCCTCTGAAGACAGCAGACAGCAGCTACGATATGCCTTGTCTCCTAGAGTGATCTACCTGACAGGGACTCATTGTGGGGTTAGATGAAGTCTAAATGATGCCAGAATGGCTCCTATGATAAACCCAAGCCACCAAAGAGAAAAACATAGACCACATCTGCATCTCCTCATTCATTTCACAAACATGCATTGAACTCCTGCATGCCAAGCCCTGCCCAAGGCTCTGGGGACAGGCAGAGATGCAGAAACACTTAAACCCCCACTCTCCCGGGCTTTAAAGGTTACCACAGCCTTGGGCTCAGTGCGTGGCTGTGGGAAACACAAGGTGTCACTGCCAATGCACACAGGGGACATAGCTAACGCAAGCCTGGCAGTTAGGAAATTGGAATTCTACCCTGAAAAGCACCCAGAAGACTGTCTAGGTCAGGCTTTCATTTTGCAGACAGAGACAACAGCTCTGTGGGGTCTGAACCCCAGTAAGGAACCCTGCTGGCCGTAGGGCCAGTACTCCTGCCTGCTGGCCCCCATAGCATGCTCCCATGCCCACAGCCACCTCTGTGTGTCCCAAACAGTATGCGGCGACCTCACTGCCACACTGACACCTGTAGCTGTACACCTTGTTTTATAAAATGTTTATGTTTCTTGAGAAGAAAAATGCGAACTCCACGTGAAGAAATATTTTGGGGGAATAATATTCAGCGAGTTGAAGAGGCTTTGCTTTCTTTCTTAGCTCTTGATTATTTCAAAAAGGAGGTTTGGTTATTTCCTCTTGAATGTGACTTAACAGGAAGATAAGTCCATCTTTACAATTAGTCCAAGTTAATGGACATAAACAGCTTAATAGTCCAAAAATGGGTCACTTAACACTGCATTGGAGGGGAAGGAAGATGCGAGGACAAACATTGGTGAAGCAGGGGAGTGAACTGTGTGACACCCAGACTCAGGGTGCTAACAGACCTGGGGTCAGATTCAGTGCAAATGTAGCTCTGGAGGCTAAAGTTATATAACACATCATAAGCCCGCTGTTCTCACCTCGAAAAATGAAGCCTGTCTACGTCTTGGGCACTTACAAGGACTCAACAGAGTAGTGCATGACAATCCCATAGCATACAGCTGCCACATAATATCCACTCACAGAAACAATCACTTTTATTAGTCCATAACCAGAATTTAACAAGTTGTGATACCGTTACTACGTTAATGTGAAACTGACACTGTGAATGTATTTGTATATACCTCCCTTGTCTTAGAAATTGCAGAGAAAGAAAAATTGTTAAAACAAATAGAACCTGATACCTACTTTGCAAATCTGCACTCTTGCTGTACATCAGCCACAGGCCTCACTCACAGCTTTCTCATAACTGATGGAAGTAGGACAGGCTGGTCAGTTATACGATGTTCAGTGGTCACACGCTTGACGGCCATCTCTTACATGCCCGCCAGGCGCCAGACTCTGTGTGTTGGCGATGCAGCAGTGAAGAGAACAGACACAGTCCTCGCTCCCTTGGTAATTATATTTTAGTGAGGAGGAAAGCAGACAGCACTGTAAATAAGACGATGGCACATTAAAAGGATAAGAGATAACAGACTATCAGAGCAGGGTAAGAAAGTCTGCAGCTTTAAGTGGAGTAGTTAGATAGCTCTCTCTAATTAGGAAGGGGACATGTGAGTAAAGATGGTAAGGGACTAAGGGAACAAGCCATGTGGGTATTTAGGAAAAGGGTGTTTCAGGCTGGGAGAACCACCTGTGCAAAGGCCCTGAGGTCACAGCAGGTCTGGAGGCTCAGTGACTAACAAAGAGTCCAGTGTGGCTGGAGCAGAATTACCAAGGGGGTGAGCAAGAGGGGATGAGGCCAGAATGGTAGCTGGGAGCCTCTTAACCCCAGGCTTTCTTGGGAAAAGCCTTGGAGGGTTTTGAACAGAGAACTGATGTGACTTGACTGAGGTTTTTAAACATTCTTTTTGGCTACTGTAATGGGAATAAACTCTGAGGACACACGTTTGGAAGGAGAGAGATCAGTGAGGGAGCTATTTCAATAACTACCAACTTAGAGTATCTACTAAAACTTGGATACATTTTGAAGGTAAGAGAGAATAGTATTTCCTGATTGATTAAGTGTGGGGTATAAAAGAAAGAGAGAAGCCAACAACTAAAGGACAGAGTGAGTGGAGCAGGTCTGGACAGGGTTATGAGGAGTCCAGCTATGGACATGTCAGGCCAGGAGACATTCGAGTAGGCAGTCAAACAAATGATTTGGAGTTCAGCAGAAAGGTCTAGGTTGGAAATATAAATTAGGAGATTGTTGGCATAAAGTAGATATTTAGAGGCATGAGTCTATAAAATAAGGAACAGAAGAGGTTCAGGGACAAAGACCTGAGGCCCACCAGTGTGGAGATGGAAACAGATTAATTTTAATGAACGGGCATTGTCACTCCACAAAAAGTCTCCACAGTACTCTTTCTTCTAGATTAGTGATCAGAAAACTATGGCTCTGAAGTCAAATCTGGCTCTCTACCTGTTTTTGTAAATAAAGTTTTATTGGAACACAGCCATGGTCATTTGTCTGATGATTGCTTTCACTCAATCAGGACAGAATTGAGTACTTGAGACAGACATCAACCATATGGCCCACAAAACCTAAAGTATTTACTCTCTGACTCTTTACAGAAAGTTTTTCAACCCCTGCTCCAGATGGACAGCAGGCATTAGCTCAGTAGGGCAGTCCCCAAGTCGAAGAAGAAATCTTACCCATGTAATGGTGCTATCTCCTTTCTGCGTGTGGCAGTGACCTTGTTGGGGCTGGTCTTGAAATTGTTTTCCAGAAATAGTGCTAGACTTTGAATTGCTCTTCACACACTCTTCAAATCCTTCCTCCTTTAATCTTCCTTCTTTTATGATTTGTAAGGCCGTTGGATAGAATTAGAGGGATATTTATCAAAGCAAAGCCAGTGAACCCATGAGCCTGGCCTCACTGACCCCAAGAATTTCAAAACTTAGTTATAGTCTATGGTGTCATTACTTGACTTACTCCAAAAGTCAGAACTCAGCCACAGAAATACATATAGTGTAGGGATAACTTATGTTTTCCTAATACATGTATGTGTGAATTTTATAGCTATTGCAGTCAGGAAAGAACAAGAAATTGCTTAGCAAAAGAAAGAGCTGTCCCGTTTTCCTCATTGGCTGATCATGTGTTGGAATCCAGTGGGGTTCATAACAAAATAAGGGCGGCTCTCATAGCAGCACATTTACTTACTCTGAAGGTGTCCGAGGAGATGGTTCCACCATCAAGTGTGTCGTGACAAACATCTCTGGCTTCTACACTAAAAAAGTCCTAAAGCATCAAATAGGATTACTCACAAGTTCTTTCAACTATTGTTCTTTTGGTCCTTATCTCTGCATCCTCCTCTCCATTTTAATAACTCAACCGTACCCTAGCAAAACTATTATTTAAAGATCACACCTATGGTTCATCTTAGAAGGGTACATGTGAATCTTTCTAAATGTAGAATATAAATGTCTTAACACAATAACTAAGAAATGACATGAAGGCTATGTTAACCAGTTTGATGAAAATATTTCAAATTTTATATAAAAACAGCACACTGTACCCCATGACTGCATTAATGTACACAGTTATGATTTAATTTAAAAAAAATAAAGGTTGATGTGTAAAATAAGAACTGATGTAATTCCCAAACCCTTTCTCTCGTGTTTCCTCCATCTCCTGGTGCCCTCCCTGCCTCTCTGCCCAGATGCCCAGTCTTGGAAGTCAGGAGCAGAGATTTATCACCATGTGCAACTAACCTGGCAGCTTACTCTCTTTTCTCTGTTCGGTGCAGGGTTCTTCATAGTTGAAATTTACTGAGTCCATTTTGCAAGAACTGAATAATAATAATAGTTTTAGTGATCAGAAAGCCTGAGATGAGACCCTAAGAGACCTGAATGGGGAAGGCTTTCCAAATATCCCAAGCTGTGTTATTAGGGCTGAACTTCTGTTTTATGCTTTATCAAGGTTCAGTTGGAACAGTATCAAATGGCAAGATGTTTGAGGCCATTTAAGCCTCGAAAAAATGTATTAACAGAATCCTAGAATAATTAGAATACTCTGGTAGCTGCCCAGATCCTTTTATGTAACTATATTTTTTTTCTTATATGCAATAGAAGCCACCTGTCTGAGTCCGTGCCCATATTTTATACTTAACCTCTGTGAGCTGTTTCCCCAACTGTAAGATGGGAATGAAGATATTAACACCTATCTCCAAAAGTAGTTTTTGTAGCTGGGAGGTGGGGAAAGGAGGTTAAGTGAACTCAAATTGCCTAGTGCACTACCTGGCTCAGAGCTGGTGCATACCAATCATTAGCACCTCTCCCACCTAGGAATGGAGCCCCGTGTGAGAGCAGATTGCCTGCATTGCAGTGTCAGGGTGAGTCCAGAGTTAAGGCAGAAGCAATGAACATGTGAGCCTTGACTGCGCTGTAATTTGGGCATCTGGATTATTTGGCCTGAGGAAATGGGAGAATATCACCAAAGCAAATTCAGTAATGCCTTCCATTTCTGCTCTATGTTTAATAGAGACTTGTACTCACACTGTATCTTTTGGGAATTATAGCAATTTCCTGGTAAAAATTCTTACCCTCATTTTGCAGATGAGAAAACTAAAACAGATGAAGTGGATGACATGCTAGCCACAGGCAGAGCCTAGACAGAAACACTCGTCTTCTGGCTTCTAGATCTGTGTTCCAGCCAGTACTTGCAACCCTGCTCTGAGGGCTGGGCTCTGGGACTCGGTGTAATGCCTAAATGGAACGCATTACTGAATTTGCTTTGGTGATATTCTGTCCTTTCCACAGGCCAAACAATCATACACCAAATTATACTGTAGTCAAGACTCATACATTCTAGCTTCAACTAGAACATCTCTGACTTTACTAGACTCAAATGCTAGAATACTACATAAAATGTCCTATGATAAAGATCTCTGCTCTTAAGAAGAAAAATCTGGAAACCATTTCACTCTATCACTGCTTTGTAGTACAGTCCATCCCAAACTAAATTACATCATATTAGCCTGAAACCAGAGGCAGATAATCTTTAATTTATCCCTTCATTATCTCACTCTCTGTGGGCTAGAATCTGGGGCAGTGTTGCCGTTCCCATTTGTGAGTGATGGAATTGAAAGCTCAGAGTTGCCCTGTGGTTTGCTAATGATACAGTGTTGGCTGTGGAACGGTCTTCACGTGGATGTCCAGTATTCCTGTTTGATCAGATCACGAATGTACTCTAGTTCACCTACTACAAGGGAAAAAAAACAACATTTGACCAAGGATTTATTGTCTTGGCAGAGCTGGACAGATTTTCGCATAAGTTTGTATCTATAGCTTCATAAAATAAAAGAAGACATTTCTCAAGACACTTTATTCTGGGAAAACATCGCTGAAGTGAGTGGTGCTTTTGTCGATATTCTGTAAATGTCAGAGAATCTATAGGGTTACTGTAATAGATCATTCCAGCCACTCACACTTCATCAATGATTCTCCAAAGTACCAACTTGGGAGCTACGAGGGAGGTCAGGAAAACACGCAGCTCACACTCCCCTGCCCACTGCCCATGAAGCAGGCTGAGCCAAGCACAGGTTCTCAAGGATTGCTGTGGCTTATGTATTTATCTTCTAACAGGGAACTAAAGGAGAAGATTCAGCCTGAAATCTTAGAGCTGATCAAACAACAACGCCTGAACCGCCTTGTGGAAGGGACCTGCTTCAGGAAACTCAACGCCCGACGGAGGCAAGGTATTGTGTCTGAGACTCTCCGGACTCGGGTAGGGTAAACCATGGCCTGCGCCCTGGAGATCCAGGGATGTGATGTTGGTTTAAGGGGGCCACACAGTGGTGACAGGCCAAACAGTGTTGTATTTGGGACAGGAAAAACAGTCCAGGTAAGTTCTGTTCTGCACATACTCGGGGAGAATCAAAGCTCAAAAGTACTAGAAGACTGACTCACCATGGAACTGGAGGAACCTTCCTGGTTATTTAGGGCCACAAGCTTCTAGTGGTGGGGGCAACATCAGCCAAATTAGCCAGAGTCAGATGTATGTCCAGATCTCTTCTTGCCTGTGGAAAACTCAATGTTTAGGATATATGGCCCTCATCAAGATGATTAAAGTTTGTACTTACTTGACATTGGGCAAAGGACATAGAACTGTGGGGCTGGGAGATGAAAAGTAGACACACACCACCACATGCAGCTAGATGCCCAGCTAGAATCCTTCAGAATCTGAATTCCTAGAACTAAATTTAACCTTCTAGTCAACTCCACCATAAATCTTCCCTTTCTAGGTTGAAATGAGTAGATTCTACCAGAATAACCCCATTTCTAGATGTAATAATTATAGGGGAGTTTGTTTGCTTGTTGTCTAAAAATCTTCAGTTTTAATCTGTAAATTTTTCCAATTTTCTAAAAATGAACTACCTTATGAATAAAAAAAAAATTAACATCTAGATTATAAATGTATTAGTTCAGCTCCTTGGGGAGCATGACCACCTGTGTTTAATACAAAATCATCCTTCTGAGGGCAGAAAGGAAGACTTTTTGGTATTTGGTAAATGGATTCAAAATCTGGTGACTGGCTCTGTGTTTAAAAATAGAGATTCAAATCAGACTATGCTGAAACTGGTTTCCTATCATCTCACCAAAACATGCCATTAATGAGAATATGACATCTTTAGTCCCTTCGAGAAAAATGCACTTCCACTTGAGACTTCAGACCAGGATGACACCTGCCTGGCAGGTGCCATCACAGGTTAAAGAGTAGGTCACTGCAATAGTTGAGTAGGATACAGATGAGTGGATTTAAGGAATTTATAAGGGAAAACATGAAAGAAGTCCTGGTTTCACCACCCTAGGGAGTGGGGGAACAAATACAGAGCCCTTGACTGGCCCCCATTTGGCTAGAAGGCCCTGAGTTGATACTGATCATTCTGCCTGTTTCTTGTGCAACTTGTGCTGCCTGGATAGTCTGATGCAGATGTGTATAGATCTGGGTTTCAGGAGGTTCTGACCACATTAGAGCTGGTAAAGGCAGTTACAGCACTCACTAGCTAAGTAGCCGCAGACTGCCCGCTCAGTGTCTCCGTGGTTCTCTTCTCTTCTGTCAAATAGGGGTGATGTTAGCTTCTGCATACAAGTGCTGTACAGATTAAATACAATCACACATCCATAACACTTAGCCTGATGTTTGGTAGGTTATCAAACATTCATTAATGATGTTTGTTGGTTATTAATTTTTAGCTCATGGATCCTCAGAATATAGATTTTTGAGCACAGGAGGTGGAGTAGCTGTGGAGAGCACAGGCTTGCTTCACTCCCTAGTCCCTGCCATGAAGTAGAAGGCTCTGATAGTGAAATCCTTTGTGATTAAAAACTGCCTGGCTCTTGAGTTCCCTGGACTCCTATAGGAGACAGTTGAGATAAAACCCAGAAGTTGCCTGTGTTAGGTCCACTATTTGCTTCATAAGAATCTGTAGACCCAAGATCTGCCCCCCTGTTTTCCTTATATTTCAGAGGTTAAGGTCTTTCAGAATCACTTGCGTGGGATGGTCTTGATAAGAGCCCAGGGATAAACACTGGAGAGTCATTTCAAGAAATGATAGCATGAGGCTTCTCAGGGAGGATACCATCCATTTCACTGACCAGCAAAACCTCTTTTAAGTGCTGACTTGACAGACTTACCTGCAAACTCAAGGGCAGGCAAAATGTGTACTTCCTACTTCTGGCAACAAGGCCTGTGTTCGCTCCATTGCTCTTGTGGCCCAGTCAGATCACGTAGAGCCAAGTGGTCTTTTGAGGCACTGTAACCATATAACCCTTTGGGGGAAAGGACCCTCTGTCCTCGAATGAAATTTTCTTTTAATATTTTGTTAAACTGAATCGTAACTAATTCAGATGAAATAAGATACATACATACAAATAAATACATATTTTCAAATGAAGAAAAGCCAGTTAATTTCCAGAAAAAAAGGCACCTTCTAAATTAAAGAAAAAAATAGCAGATAACCATTGTTCTTAAAATGGGACAGACCACTGGTGTGGATAAAAGAGGCTGCTGTTGGCAGGAAGAGCAGGAAGGCATGATATTTATTGAAAGCCAGCTCTGTGGAAGATGCAGGATGCATGCTTTATGTACGTTTTACTTGCATAATTATGACCATGACTCAGTAAAAATAGGAATCTGCAGACTCATACAAAAACATGGAAGCTAAATAACCTTATGCTGAATTATAGATGGGTCAGAGACGAGATCAAGAAGAAAATTACCAAACTTTTAGAACAAAACAATAATGAAGACATGAGTTATCAGAACATCTGGGATACCACAAAGGCAGTCCTAAGAGCGAAATTTATAGCATTGCAAGCTTTCCTCAAGAGAACAGAAAGAGAGGAAGTTAACAACTTAATGGGACATCTCAAGCAACTGGAAAAGGAGGAACATTCCAATACCAAATCCAGCAGAAGAAAAGAAATAATCAAAATTAAATCAGAATTCAATGAAATTGAAAACAAAAGGATTAAACAACAGATCGATAAATCATGAAGTTGGTTTTTTTGAAAAGGTCAATAAAATAGATAAATCTTTGGCCAACCTAACCAAGAAAAAAAGAGTAAAATCTCTAATCTCATCAATCGGAAACGGTAAAGATGAAATAACAACAGACACCTTAGAAATTCAAAAAATCCTTAATGAATATTACAAGAAACTTTATTCCCAGATATATGACAATCTGAAGGAAATCGACCAATACTTGGAAGCACGCCACCTCCCAAGACTTAGCCAGAATGAGGTGGAAATGTTGAACAGGCCTATATTAAGTTCTGAAATAGCATCAACTATACAAAATCTCCCTAAAAAGAAAAGCCCGAGACCAGATGACTTCACATCAGAATTCTACCAAACCTTCAAAGAGGAACTAGTACCTATATTACTCAACCTTTTCCAAAATATAGAGAAAGACAGAATACTACCCAACACATTCTATGAAGCAAACATCACCTTGATCCCCATACCAGGAAAAGACCCAACAAGAAAAGAAAATTATAGACAATTATTACTAATGAATATTGATGCAAAAATATTCAACAAGATCCTAACCAACAGAATCCAGCAACACATCAAACAAATTACACACCACGACCAAGTGGGTTTTATCCCAAGATCTCAAGGATGGTTTAACATATGTAAATCTATAAATATAATTCATCACATAAACAAATTAAAAAACAAAGACCATATGATTCTCTCAATTGATGCAGAAAAAGCTTTTGATAATATCCAGCA